ACGGCTGTGGCCCTTCTCTGAACATCCTTACATTAAACGATACCCTATTCCTGTGTGTGGCGCAGTCCGAGACCTTGGTCTAAGATATTCTGCCTCATTTAATTTTTTAGAGCATGTTATATTCTTGCAGGCTTCTGCCAGAAAATTGATCGCCTACATAAGTCGAACTCTTATCTTGAGGGATTCCAGGCTTCAAGCCTTTAAAATATGTGTTAGGCCGAAGCTTGAGTACTGTACGATAGTGCATAGTAATCTGAGAAAAGTGGACATCATAGCACTAGAAAACATTCAACGATCATTCACAAAGAGGTTTTTGAACATGCCTAATACTATGACATACCGTGAGCGTTGCGAGGCTCTAAAACTGGAGCCGCTATGGCTACGCAGACTCAAACTTAATCTGTGCCTTCTATACCGCTTACTATTCGGATTAAGCTTCACTGCTCAGCCACAACTCGAGTTTCAGACTCGTATGCGCTATGAACTAAGAAACAGCGAGCGCAATTAGCAAATACAAAAGTCTTGCGCAAAGCTCCGCTCAACATGTTTCTCCGTAAAATATGCGTTAATATGGAACAAACTTCCATCGAGTATTAGAAACTGCACTACCTATCCGCAATTCAGACGCATGATTAATATTCACCTGACTGTTTCAAATATCTGGTCAACACTAAGCCAAACGGTGACTCTAGATGATTTGTATGAGAAAGGTCCTGGATACATTTGAAAGTCGACATATCCTTTATTCGTTTCAATATTCTAAGGTTGCCTACATAGTTAAATTCTTAAGTATATATTTATAATCGATCTTACTCCTATCACTCCGTCTAACCAATTCTGATTTTTCCTTTGACGCAATGGTTCCTAAATGCACTACGCCTTTCAAGCTGATGTTTCTGTACCATCGTCGTCACTCGCCAAGAGTTTTTAATCAAATTTTGATTGGTCTAGCGGCAAGCGTTTGTATCCATTATTATGATTTTAATTCCTCATACTTTATCTTCTTTATTTCGTTGTTGGTCATGACTGGGCTGATCTCTTGTGGTGACGGATTACAGCTTCCAAAATAAAAAGTACACCCATGCAAATCATATTGCTACTGACTCGCTGGCTTAAAACAAGAAGTACAACACTTGACTGATCCGCATGACGGAACGGGCCTGGGCTTGGACGTCCATAATGCATGCATAAAACAGCCCTAAAAATCATTTGATACCCATTCTGATGGACTACTTATTAGTTTGTCACACAGGCACAGAACAAATTAGAGCATGGAACTGCGGGTGAAACCCATCCTGGGAATACCCTGCATGGAAGCAAGTCCCCTGGGGACAGTTCCATGGATGACCGTATTAATTTACCTGAACTTTCCGTAAAACCTACATTTATTATTGTTTCCAGTTTCGTAATCGCAAACCGCTAATCACTTCAAAAATCTCACATGGCGCCCATTGAACAAAACATGTAAATTAACTACATTGTGCTATCACGTAGTACATGTTGATAAGACCACCCAGTTGGTCAGTGCCCCGCACTGTGGAAGAATGAAACGTTTATTTATTTATTTAATGTTACTGAGACGGAACTCCAAACAGAAACAGCAGTTCACATTACCTTATTAAGCCAAACTTACGGTGGAATTGCATGAGATTTGCGCCTATTCAGTCGTGTCCGCATCCAACATCTCGTACTATTTTTGCACCTCATTCTTTATATGTAGTAATGTCCTTCGGTGTCCCTTTTTAGAAAATGGTGACTCGACCCAGTCACAAAATCCATACGGGCTGTTGTCCTCCGCAAACAGAAGTAAAGCTTGCTGATAAGTGACTTTAAGTCAGGGCTCATGTGTTACACAAAACCACCGAGTGTAAGCGGCAGTTCCTCCACGCCAAATGCGTGGCAACCAACCGCATTCAGTTAACCGCCTGCCTCATTTTTAGCCGAGGAGAGCCTTGTTGGCCTGTAGGAAATCTGTCCGTAATATTGGTTGCCTCGCATCTAGTAGAACGACAAAGACGTGCCTTACTTTCCTTTCCTTAATTCCTACCATGCATTTTGCAATACCATATATGCACACTGTGTATCTACCAAAGCCTTCGCGATCATGGTGCATGATTAACATTGTACACCCCATCGATGGTTGCTCATAGACAATGCGGTACCCGGATCAATCAGACACAGTCCCCTCGTCCCGCATACTTTCAACATCGCTTTGACCACCCACATAAATCAGCGCCCAAAGTGTAGTGCCTCGATCCGAGTAAAAGAACAAGAATAAACACGTTGGATACATGTGACACAATGCGCCTCGCTGGGTATCGTTCCATCCAGTGCCGTAGTTTTCCGCAGAGAAATTAGCATCCTTCTGGTTCGCCCCCGACCGCTGGACGTGAAGGTATTTGACTTCTTGCATAAGCTTTTCCATGATTTTTCCAACTTGTCTGACTGCTGTCAGCCTACACGTTGTTCCTCCTCTAATGCAGCAAGTAGTGCGTGGCTTAGCTCACGGTTCGTATAAACAAACACTGCTACGCAAATTCTCTGGTCATCGTTTGCACTCAGCATATGTTCCTCGATGGGCTGCGGGAAACCGCTCAGTAACTGATCTACCAGTAATTACCGCCTTGACGCTTCCTTCACTAGTTATAGAGCACGATGCAACAAGCCCCGGTTGTGAATTGCAAGTACTAGAGATCCGCTCCTGCTCCAAGCCGAGCAACTCTGAACCGCCGCATTAACCCCTGCCGGTAGACCGCAACTCTTCCTTCGCTGTGACCTACTCTATTTGTATACGCGTTAAGTACAGGATCGCTCTTGCACTTTCATTGAGGGTACACCGCGGAGCTGCCAACTTTCTTTGGCTGGCCTTTGTTGCTCCCAGCTTCGCTGCATCCTTGAAGTCCTCCAGGAACCTCCGCACATCTCTTCTTCATGAAGCTCCGGTCAGGGGATATTTATGACTTACCTTGATAAGTCATGACATAAGTGGTGGAGGCCAAGGTGAAAGCGGATTTATTCGTTGTGGCAGTTGTTACAACTGCTGAAGTTTAAACAACCTATGGTGCACACAACAATTTATTGAATTGACTTGAAACATATGCACCGTCTCTGACTACCAACCATTTCACTCATCTGTGGACTCCCATTTGGTGGCTGCCTGGCGCGCCGTGCTTTTGTGTCTATTGTCAGTGTACATATATCTGCAGCTCTTATGGTTTATTCTCTAGTTGGGGCGTTTGTATATCAGCTAGCTTTCTTGGTAGTTGTATAGTATTAACACTTGACGCCTTTGGTCCACCACAGCATGACTCATGTTATGATATTTTGTTTACCATTTCCACTTAACAACACGCCATATTTATTGCAGAGGAGTTTGTGTTAGCTATACCGGAGTTACGGTTAGTATTTGCACCGTAGCGGCACCTTGCTGACTGAAACTCGATCACCTCTGACTAGAACAAAGAAACCTTTGTTTTAGTACGCATGTACTTGCACCCTCTCTACATCAGCTTTGCATAAGCTGAATGATAGCGTTCAGCTCCAGGCAATGGAGTTATATAAACAAAGCTTTGTTTGCAGCGCGATTACTCTATGCCATATTAACTGGCACCGCCAATCAAACTCCGACAATTTACTTTTATTTTATGACCCAACGTGGTATGAATCAGGACATCGTCAGCTAAATTATTTTAAGTTGGGTTAACTACATTGCAACTGTAGATCAGTTACGTCTGGATTTATATATCTCAAAAATGCAACATTTGTCAATAAAAGCTTTTTCCATTGATACTACTGACACTTACTGACATGACAGTTTTTATACCTTGTTACGAAGTTCAAGTCCTCATCAAAGCCTTCCTGAAGTTTAGCATTACTAGACCAATTTGAATGCCGTTTGGATGTTACTGTGTTTTTATGCCTCTCTATTCAGCATTTGGTATCGTCAAACGTGACACATATTCAGGCGATTTCGATCATAGTGTTTCGATATTGTCGAGTTAATTGCATGTATGATAAGGCTTTAAATTATTAAGGAGACACCTTAGGAATATGATGATTAATATGTTAACAGTTAACGAAGTACTTTTGTATTTGACCAAACGTAGATTTTGAAAAGGCTTAGGCTGTTTCTCAATAAATGCAAATATCCCGCCATAACAAAAATTCCAACAGGCGGTCCACATGCTTTTCCACAAAAGTCTGCAACAATTTAACGCATTTAATTTTACTGATTAGCCAAACATGTAACCACCATTTTACTACAATTTTGCAAAAATTTACTGTCAATACTAACTAGAGCATTATTAATACACGAATCGATTGGGTCTGCATGGTAATGAACATGTGCAAATTAAGAATGTTGCCTTTTTATAAATTTTGTATATACTTATATATGACACCGTGACCCTGCCGCCAGCTCTTGATTATCTCAATGCTAGCTGCTTCATGAACGCAAGCTTTATTTTACCTGTCTCCGGAAGAAAAGATAACACATTTATGTTATAACTTGCTTAACTGTGGTAAAGTTGCGCAATGTATCTTGATATTATAGCCCAAAAGTAACAAATGCAAGTAAGTTACAGTTAATTTGCGAGGCTAGTTAAAAGTTTCGTTTTTCGGATTGCATACGACGTCACTTAGAAATCTTCCCTAGCCTCAAAGGATTATGCATTTAGTCGAACTTGTAAAATGAATATTGTGGTATTGAAACAATACAGAATTTGGCACGCTACTGTTGAAGCATTGAGTAACAAGCAGTTGCAATTATAATGTAGTTTCTCGCAAACTGCATTCGAAAATAGCATTTGACTGAGCTATTTCGGAATGCATGTTGAAAAACAGGAAAATGTTATTATGCAATAGTACTTTACTTTTACTTGTGCAAAGTTGCATGCTTCGTAAAGCAGGGATCTGCCGTTAGGATGGCACATATAGTTTTGGTAAATGTATGTAAATCCGTCAATATTCACCAATAATTTCTAATGAGGTATAGCACTTACCGAAGATAAGGTACTTAACTTCTGTTTTATTGAACTGACTTTGTCGGGTGATGTTCCAAGTTGATTGATTGTAGTGTTGGAAATCTTGGGAACCCAGGGACGTTCAAAAGTTTCATAGCCACTCTCGCCTGCCGAATGGTCACCACTAACCGCGAGATCCGTAGATGTTAGCAGACTGGAACTATGGTACGCTGAGTTACTTGATGGAATACAGGATGATTGACTGATGCGACGAGGGCTGGTGGTAGTTGGCTGAATTGGAACCGTTACCTCCCTAAATGTAAATAATATTTAAAATAACTAGCAATATTGCAAAGCGTACAGCGAATACTGCGTGTTCGTTCGATAGAGTGCAGTATTCTTTGGTATCAACGACCTGTTTCAGCGACCTGTCACTAAATTATATAGGATGTATTAATTACATGATACTGAGTTCCAAATAAATGAAGAGCAATTTTTGCGCCAACGGCTGAGTGGGATTAGTAACTTCCCAAATAAACGTTTGCCGCAGCTTGTTCATCGTTTTAAGCATACTTGATACAGTAACTCATAAGAGTATCTCCGGCAAATAATACGTAAAATGATACTGTAATGAAATCTTTTTTGTCATCGCCTAGGTTAAAGTATACAAACTGTAAATAGGAATGATTAATATTAGTGCTGACATTATTTTAGCTTCATGGGACCTAAGTAAGGAACTAGGTCGTCTTAAGTCCTCAAATAGTCAAGTATGTAGCAACATTAGGCTCATTATTGAACACAAGAAAAATGACGAGTGCTATTTTTGTGTGCTGCGCACCCATTTGTTCCTAGTTGCATGGCCTTCAAAAAGAGCGGACAACTCTCTGCCAGTTGAAGTCCCCTGATAAATGCCAAGTATGCCACATCACTGTACATATTAGATTGTATAATTACATTTATAAATCCGCCTTATTTGTAACGAGTGGTCTGTTTAAGTCTTGTTTGGCGACCGCATACCTATTAAGTTGCAGGAGAAACGCAATGCACCTTGAAAAACGAGAAGCTAAATTAATTTTGCAACTAAACTAAAGTAACTGGGATACTTAGTACATCAGATATTTAGCTGTTCATTATTAAAATATTGAATTAAGGGTGGTAGTAAGCAGCAACAATGCTCGAAATGGAAATCTCTGTGTTGTTAGCATTTGTCATTCAAGCAGACAATAGATGTTTTTGAGTTTCGCAAACCTGCTAAGATTTATGAGAAAACGTATTAACTGGCGCTCAGCCTGAGTTATCTGGGAAGACATCAACACTAAACTAGAACAAATGCTGTATACTAGCAAAGAAATTTAGAGAAATAAAAAGAATTTTAATCTAAAATATCATTGTTGATGAGCCATGTACAGGAGTACCAAAAGTAAACGTCAGGGCGTTTATTAAACTGTTGGACAGATTTAGGAGAAAGAAATCATTTAAGCCAAACGGAGTAAATCGATTCGTGCGACACTGCTTAATAAGAGCAACCTTGCCGTTTGTGCAAAGAACCAAAAGCGGCAGGCTAACGCCTGCATTGGTAAGCTCATTTGTACCAATTCTCCCGCACCGCCTTCCTGCGGAACAGTCGATGTAATAATACTCCGATTTCTATCCAGGACTGATCCCAGTAGATCATCCATGCAGACTGCGACAGGTGCTTAAATGTCGATGCATATACCACCAAGTTCTACGACCCTTCCTGCATTTCATGAAAGCGGTCAACACAGTCGATTGCTTCAATGTTTTCGACAATCCTCCTCAGGATGCTGCTGCAGTCAAATATCTGAACTCTCAGCTTACAATGAAGTTAAATAACACAGGTCACATTGGTGTATACTGTGAATGATCAGAATTGTTTCCCTACAGCTAATAAAATTTTGAGTTGTCCAGTCTCTTGATTTTGTCCGACAATAACGTGTCCCACCGCGGACTGATTCTCTTCGGAATCCCACGACGTAGGCAGTAATCTGCAACTAGGCAAGTTAAGTTAAGGAAATGCTATATGCACCCAGATCGGGTGAATATTCGGCAGCGATACAAGTGTGACTTCTAATAATTGTTCCCTTATTGATATAAATTGGTCTACTAGAAGCTTCGACAACCTGGCGTAGGAAAGGAAATGGCCCATACCAACAAGCCCAAAGGGAGGATCACTTCACGGTATAATATTAAGCCCATTTCCCGTTTGGTCTGAGGACCTAAGGTATTTTCAAGTATTCGAACATTGATGTCCGTAAATTAATTTTGGTATACGATAGTATCAGCGAATTTGTAACAAAGACGTGGGCAAGCGAATGTTACTTACGCAAATCAGGTCAGATCCTTAGAGTGATATAAAGCAATGGGTAAGGTGCACTTACTTGGAACACATCAAAAGCAATGCACATCAACGTGCCATACGAAAAGCCTTAAGTTTTACATATTTAAGTACCTAAAACAATAAAAAGACCTCTGTTGGAGGGTGCAAACTTTGTGTTGAAATAAAAAATGATTATTTATGCAGTGCACTTAATTGCTCAATATAATAGTAACATTGACTTAGTGCATATTAATCATCAAATAACAAGAAGCTATATAAACAGCCTCTTTTGCATCAATGAGCGACCGTTTGAAGTTCTAATGCCATGTTCTTGGCACTTTACTCTCAGTGTAAGTATAGGCCATACAAAAAAGTAAAGTGTGCGAAATGGTTAACAGCGCGTGAAACAATTTTTGTAATTAAAACGATTTCACAATTGAGTGGTGTTGTATTATCAACCTGGATTATCCTCCAACTAAAAATCATTAGGACATAAAGAAGCGACGGTCATTCAACTAGCCTGGTACCAACGTTGAAGTTTGCCTAATAACCGACCTGTTTTTATATAGAATTATTTACTGAGAATCTTTTCTTCTACTGTTAACAGTTTAATGGATCCCTGCACACATTTTGTTTGACAGTCGAAGTTATGGAGGGGAGTTAATTGAAGCAAATATTTATGTATAGCTTTTGACCTCAAGTCGCAACGAATGCAAATGCTAAGCGGTGCCATTTTGGTGGCAGATGGCAATGATTGCAAATTCGTCCACAAGTATCAGCAATAGATTGAGATTGAACCTCATCAATAAGTTTTAGAATTGAGAAGACCATTGCGACTAAACTCTAAGAAATGGAGCAAGTAGGTTGAACAGATTTTATACCCGACAAATTCATAAGTACTGTTGGGAAGATTGATTTCAAATTAGAAGTACCGGTTGGCATAACTTTAGGACACTATATGTCTGATAACAAATCTGTGAATTGTGTTAGTGTTGTAAGGTCTATGCAGTATAAATAATTTATCAAAAATAAGACGGACCAAATAAAGCTTATTTTCCACAGTACTGCTGCCGGGGACGTTTAGAAGAAAACGCATACTAAGCAAATTAGTACCAACGTGTTTTAATGAACGGCATGCAACAAATGCAAAAACCTTAAGTGTAGCTTGTTACCATACTTTATTAGACACACGCGGAAAGCATATGGTACATCCTGCTAAACAGTCATGCATTGTGACCAACTATTTGTTCTGAGCAAAAATCAAAAAGTGAAGCATTCATTTAATGGATTGTTTTACTGATCAGAGGAACTCAATGTAGCATAATGTTACGCCTATAAAATACTTAAATTTTTACTTGCCTTGTTATACCGAGCTGTTTGTACAAGTAGATTTTGTGAGGTATGCTAGAAACTACGTATCGAAATATTCCAGTCTCATGTTAAACTGTGATAACTACTGGTTACATCTACCTCAGCGGTAGAATCCAATATTTTCTTGTTTGAAATATGCATTTCTAACATCAATAATTAGCAAGTTGCGTTTTACATTTGCAATACCCTAGTAATTCTTATAATACAGACAATAAACTACTACCCTTTTAAGATAAGCTACAAAATACAGTCATCCAGTCGGTGCCATAAATGTCTGCTCCATTTGCGGAAATAGGTTTATCTCAGAGAACGTTACTTTTGCATCAGTATATTCCTCTGTGTCTGGCCTTAGCTGCTTACATTTTACATTTCCTTCAACGTGCTTTTGTTCCTGCAAATACCGATCCCAACACCTCTCGTATCTTGTAAGCTAATACCATATTAAAATAAGCTACACAATATAGTCATTCAGACAGTGCCATAAATGTCGCCTCCATTTGGAGAACTAACTTTATCTTGCAGCACTTTACTTTTGAATGAGGAACTTCCTCCTTGTCTGGCTTTATCTGCTTGCGTTTTATATTTCCTTCAACGTACCTATAGTTCCCTCAAATACCGCGCCAAACCTGGCTTGTATCGGAAAACAATATTCGCCAACTTTAAAGTAATTATAAGAGCCCCTTTTACTCAATGTTAGTTTGTTTTCCACTCGTGGCTATGGCAGTGTCCTTTTTAATGTTAACATTTTAGTAATTTGAAACAATTAGATCGCTTTAGTAATTTGAATAATGCCGTAAGAAGACGAACACTGGCAGATGTCAACATCTCGTATTGTCTCTTCAGTGCCAACACAATAACATGAAAATATATAAGACGGCAGGTAGGGTGAGACCGGAACAAGTTAGAACAGGGTAGAAGGGCAGGCGTGACACCCCTACGCCCAGGGCAGCCGTAGGCTTACGAACAGCTGTTTCTGCACACAGAGTGCGGGTTTGATATGGCTGATCGCGACTGCCTCTGCAAAACGTAGGAAACGGGCGTTAGCATGTCTTAACACGATTGTAAACATTTTGGCCGGATCAAACTGATGACAGGTGGCCAGTAAATGCCTACCTATGGATGAAGCAGGTGGTTTACGTGAACAGATGGTATGAGCAACCGAGGACTGGGTGATTTGACGCTACAACCATTTAGGTACATGTTCTCTTATTCTGGAGTTCGACGAACTATTGGTACGGCCTATGTAGCGTTTACCACAACTACAAGTAAATTGGTAAATACAATGTGAGTTGGAGCCAACAGGTTGTCTTTCCGTCATTGGGGTAACAGGTATTCGATTAGTCCGGTTGATAAGGACAGTTTCGGCAGCATAATAAGTCCTCTGGACTACGGAAGTTATACGCTTCATTGTCCTCATCTTGGCAAAATCTCCCTTAAATGGTAGCTCGATGTAGATCTTCTTTTTAGACACTGTCGAAACCTTCTGTCCCGGCACCCTCGCCTGACTATGTTTGTCGATGAATCTACTTGGATAGTCATTTTTCAACAGCGTATCCTTGAGCGAGTTTATCTCCTCATCTAAACTGTCGGCAGTGCATATTTTC